GGGGAAGAGGTCAAATTGTGAGTGAACCTCCCAGAAAATTCAACCATTGAATTGTGAGATAGAACTACAGGAGGTCAAATTGCAAAGTGCCACATTGGCATGGGGTGAAATAAGTACTTTTCCATTAAATGGGTGAACAAATGGAGTAAGAATAAAAATATCTTCAAAAAGCTCTTTCACTGGCAAAGCATCTAAAGAAACTTCATGAAACCCAATCAGACATTTTACTCAGTGGAATTTTTTAAAATTTTTGTAATTGATTTCCCCTGGGTCAGATTGAAGCAATGTACTATGAGATTAAAATGCTAAGCTGAATATGAAGTACTGTACAATGTACCCTCAAATCAGCAAAGAAATGGCATTGCTCCAATCCAGCTCATCAAAAAAAATTACACTGAAAAAAGTCTATTCTTTCTACTGAAGCTCTATACTGTATACCAGTGTTCCCCAACCTTTTTTGGCTCGTGGACCAGCAAATTTCCAAAAGATGTGCTGTGGACTGGCAAAGTTTCATGACATCTTTGCAGAATAAAAAAAGTTTTGAGTAAAGACTTTATGTCAGGTATCTAAAAAGTTTCTGCTTTTTCAAAAATTAAGTTAAGCACCAATGAAGCAGCTGTGGTTGAATGTCATCAAAGCATTAGAAAGGTGAGCTTTAAAAAAGGTTTCTTAGAAAGAAACATTGGAATAATATATTTCAGCAGGTAAAAATTTGTCTGAGGTGTTATTAGAAGAAAAGCCAACTTTTATTTTTCATCAGATAATTTCAACTGCCATATTGTCTTTCCAAAATTTCAGATAAATATAACAGAAATCATGGCTCATCCTTTTGATGAATTTATTAAGCTGAAAATTTCCCGGTGACCAGAAAACAACTTTTGCAGACTGGCACTGGTCCACAGGACATGGGTTGGGAAACCCTGCTGTATTTAGTACCAGCACCATTCATTCATCCCCAGCCATTATTTGGCAGCCCCAAGCAAGGGTGACAATAATGGAGTTCACTCTACATTATAAGTAAAGTAATACTGTGTATGCTGTTATATTAACTCAGCCCACTGACATACCTGCAGAGTTTGTTTAGACTTGCTGGAAAAGAGAAGCTGTGTAAACAAACAAGACAGTCTTTTAAAAAGAGTCCAATTACACAAAAAGGTCGGAAAGCTTTGCTTTAAAATCAAATGACAAGGATAGCAAAGAGATGCATCTCAGCTGCACGTGGCAATGACTCCTCGGGGGGACAATAAAAAACCATCACAGCAGCACGTGGAAGTGACTCGGATCTCGAAGTCCTACCATTTCCATTTTACTCTTTTACTCCATTTCGCTCACCCGTGGCAAAAAGCGGGAATCTTCGTCATCGTCGTCGTCGGTTGTGGCGGCGTCGTCGTCGTCGTCGTCGCTGTCGACATCACGGCGGCCTTTCTGCCCAGACTTCAGAACAGCCGCGAGGGACAACAGGCCAACTTTTCCCTCCGGCTGACGCTTTTTTCCGCCCGTGTCGACGTCGGGTGTCGATTTGATCTTGGAACTCTTGCTGGCACCAGCCGCAGTTTCGTTGACGAGTCGTGAAGAGGAACTTGTTGGTGTTGTGGATTCGTGGTGCGACTCGCCATCAGTTTTCCCACGTTCGACGCCTCGGGTTTCGGTCATGTGTCCTTGAATGCCCGGCTCTCGAATTGGGTTCTAATTTCGTGGTGGAAACAATCAAAGAGATCAAAATGCGAAGCTCGCTTTTTTTTCGTAGGATCTGTGTGTATAAGAAGAGCAAGTGTCTTCAAGGTACAGTATTACAAAAGTTTGATCTTGCCAAGTCGAACCTTTATGGAAGTTGAAAACGTATGTAATTCGATATTACATTTAATCCCGGATTAATTCCCTCAAGTCCGATGCAATTTAAACCTCCCTGAATCAAAACGTTTTTGCTAAAACGACCCTTAGTCAAAATGACGAGGCTTTTTAATATGAACTTCTAGAAAAAAATGTTCGTGAAAAATATGAAAATGATTTTCTTCTTGTTCTCTGTAAGGGACAAGGTACACAGTATATTCCTCCAGTCAGAAATCTTTGAATAGTTCTAATAATTTTGCATAAAACAAAGTCAATCGAATAATTTACCTAAATGAAGCCAAATTTCTCATCTAATAACTTTCAATGCACGATAAACAATAAAAAGAAGGATCAGATAAGTTAAAAATTTCAGTACTGTAATTAGTTTTTCCATCGATCAGTCTGCCTTTATGAACTTGACAAACCTCTTATGTACCCTCTAAAAATAATTCACAAAATCAGATGCTCGAGAATTCTTTTTTAAACTGTATCTCTGGGGCAGATATCTTTTTTTTTCGCATTTATTTCTATGACAGACCCATTACCCAATCCTGATGGTATCTCAAAAATTAATTTAAGCGTTCGGAAACATTGGAGGGTTCTTTCGATTTACGAGTATATTCGCGCCTCCATCAGTCACTTGGTCATGGGTGCATGGTTCTTTGTTGACATTGCTGTACCTCTTGATTCGTGTTCTTATTGACATTTTCTCCAGTGTGTGTCCCCGAAGCAACCCGGAGCTTTGTGAGGCGCATGTTGAGCACTGCTTGGTTGTAAATCTCTGATCTTACTTCGATCATTATACTGTACAGTACAATATGTTTGGAAAATGTGATTATCTAAAATTTTGAATATTTAATTCAAGTTTTGAATTAAATCACCAAGGAAAATAAGCGATTCTGCATATTTTTCGAGTTTTTGACTCCACAAGAAAGCTATCCAAGTAATCTTTAGATTTCTGTAACGGTCTTGCTTTCTTCGTCGTTTTGTTCATGAAACAAAAAATGCATCGCTTAGTAAATGTTTTCAAACAAAACTGCTGCTGGTTAAAGAAACAAAAACAAAGAAATAACGTGCTGGAAAAGATCAGCTGGATGCCCTTGGATGCGAAGGAACGTGTCAAATTGTTATCAATTCATTCAAAGTTCATAAATCAAGGCTGAAAGGCGCGTGAGCGATGGTGAGTACTTATTTTCATGCATCATTCAGCCGAGGAACTGCTTCCTTTTCACAACAATTTAAAAGGAAAGACTTCCAGAGAAAGAAAAGCCCCTCTTTCTCAGCCCAAGGCCAACTTCATAGGCAAAAAAAAAGAAAAGAAAATTATCAAAAGTCGACTTTCGTTGATTAAGACTGAGTGAATAAAATACTATCGAAGCTCAGCAAGTTAAAAAAAAACATTTCCCTAGCGAGGAATTGTCTCTTTTTTCGTCGTGTATGACGAGCCAGAATTATCGTTTTTTCCCACCTCAATTCTCAGAACATCCCTGACAGTGAAAAGATCTCACAGATAATTCAATTTCCCGTACTCGCTGGGGAAACATAACTTGATGACCATCGGAGAAAAAGATAATCAAGCTCGCTTTGAAGTAAGAGAAGAAATCCGCGGAAAGGCGAATGATTTCTCTTTTTTTGCAGCAACAATTTGCGAAAAGAAAGAGGACAGAGAAAAGAAAAAAAAAGAACCGAGCAAACGAGCGAAGCAAATGAAAAAGGAAATATAATCGGTACTACGCAGTTCCCCGCACCGCTGATTCTCCCCTCCTCTTTTTTTTTTTTTTTTCTTCCTCCGACCTGGCGAGTTTCTATGTTTACGTATAAATAATCGCAGATGAGAACTGCGGGCTGTGCAAATATTGGCACAAACGCATTTGCGGAACGACAAGCTTGCTGCTGTGTGGGGAGAAGAATAACCCGATTCACTTCTGTCAAATCCGTGCATGCCGGACACGCTTTTATTGAAGCTATTTTCGTGTTATGCTCCTCCCATCTTTTAGAGAATTCCACATATTTGCTGGCATCCCGTGTACATTATTAAAATGTTTGAAAATATCATTTTCGATAATTACTTTGAAGCAGAATACTTCCTATCGCTATAATGGAGCTGTAAATATAGCTGCAAAACTTGGCATTCAGAGAGTAGGAAACAACAGCGCAAGTATTGTACAATACCATGTTATACTGGAGTACAGTACCACACACCCTTGAGTAATGTACATATGAACCTGCAGTTTTGGCGCCTGAAATTCAGAAAAAAAGTCCAGCATCAAGTGAGACCCGCACCCATGTTATATATGACTCTCGATTGACAAATTTTGCGTATCACACATTTTCTTCTTATTAAATGTTTCTCGAATCTCGGGCAAAGCAAGAGAAAATGATATGAAAAACAAGTATGAATGTAATTGAGATGATTTCGGTGCACTTGCGCACATAAAAAGCAGAATTCCGTCGCTGTCGCTAATTGTATTCATATTGATGTCATTTGATGACGGATACATCTATATGTGCATTTGAAAAAGCCCTCAAAACATCTCATGTTAATTTTTTAAAGGCCCTTAAAATTTAACTAAAGAGGTTCAACTGTATAATATCGTTACGTTCTGAAGGTCTGTTTAGTTTGCAATGCTGTGAGTGTCTGAAATGTTTACTTGTCTGATATCGCAATTTTTTGGAAAATCAAGAAAAATTTGATGCTTGATCAAAGAATATAAAAATGTGAGCTAACAATTAATTCATAGATAGTTCGAGAGTCTACACGGTGAAGAATTTGACAAGAGGTATCAACAGCGTCATCAACTTGCTAAAAAAATCCATGCATTTTATTAATTGATTTTTATGTATCGCGTCCAAGTTTAGCTAACCAGAGAGGCATTTTATATTTTTGTAAGATTTACAATATAACAAAATAATTAACGCGCTTGACTCAGCCTGCGCAAAATCTGAAACCCGGCGTGCAAAAGTTGTTACCCAAAATCCTCTTCTTTTACTTCCGCGGAAATACGAATACTGACAGCTAAGCATTTCGCTGAAATTTCCTCGAAGACAAGAAAAATGGATCAGGCTTATTTTTGTTTCAAATATTTCCCGAGCAAAAAATACAAATGTTTTTTAATTTCTTTGGCGTTACTTTGGACTCTAAGCAACGTGAACCACTGAACAACGAGAGCTCACCCTTTAAGCGCCTGCTTAAAGGCGGTGCTGGGCTGCTGACCTCGACTGCAACTCGGTCCACTCGACGTCGTTCTGCAGGTCGCGACCTTGGTCCTAATATTCGCGACGGGCTTATTATTTTCTTCGCCAATCTCGACACTTTTCGACGTCGACACCGTATCCGTTTTTGTCGACATCTCATCATCTTCGGGTAGCGGCTCGTTGGCCACCAACAAATGCTGGCAGAATGACACGTCAAAGCTTTTGGTGCTTGGCTCGCTACGATCAAGCACACGTTGACGCGCTGCCGAATCTCCTCTGCGGAAATCATGGTCTCTCTTATTTTTTGAGTCTTTCTCTCAAAAAATAAAAATAATACAGCCTCGATCTTTGCACTGAAGTAATATCGGAACTGTGGCCAGCTGAGTTTATTCGTGGATTATTCAGATAAAAAAAACTAGTGATAAGTTAACACCAATTTCCTTCCTATATACTCTATATAGAGTAAACGACTGTAAGTGACACGAGAGCTAAATTTAGCTAACATAAAAAACGTTCAATTTTTTATTATTCGCAATCGTGGCAATAATTTTTGAAAATTTCTCGCTAATGAAAGAAATTTGACTATATAAAGCGGAAAATTCGGATGTCCGACTAATAATGAAATAAACACATGATAGGGCCAATACCATATTCAGGAAAATGTCGAGAGAAAATTTCTCGTGAGAAAGCATCTTCTGATCCCTCAAGCTATACCTTCATACTATAATAAGTAATACTCTAATAAATATAAATATTACTCGCTTAGCCCCATCCTTTGGTAACACTTGAACGTTGTTCAACTTACTCTTAGACACTTTTAATGATTTTTTTTCATTCAATAAGTCCAACGATCGGAAAAGTGCCGAAAATCGAGTTCGGTTAATTTTATAGGCGCCCTGTGATTTTTGGCTGTTCCCGAATGTAAAGAACAATCTGAAAGGGTTTGATTTCGAGGATAGGTACAGCATCATTTTCACAATCAATGAAGAACAGCTCAATCAACTGAAGGAACTCGATTTTCGGCACTGTTTTGATCGTTGAACTTATGGCATGAAACAAAGTATTGAAATTGGCGGAGCGTAAGTTGAACAACGCTTAAGTGTTACCAAATGATGGGGCTATGCAAGGGAAAATTTTCTTTGGAATTCTGAAAACTCCGTTGGATCTACGCGTCGAGAAGTCTCAAAACTTATGAAACAACCGCTTGTATATGCTGGTTCGATCCCGAAATCTGTTATTACATCTTAGAAACGATTTTTTCAGCGTTTCTCAGCTCAGCACTACCAGAACAATATATAAATCGAGCACATTTCAATCTTAAACTGTACTTTGAAGTCTAGCGCACATACGACTGTACGAGTATCTGTTTTTATGTCTTTTTTACAACGCTTCAGGAAATTCAGAAGCATTGTATTGGTAGAGATACCTTCGGAAAAACAAAGCCATAAAAACAAATGTCCCCTTGAATGCAATACCTGGAAGTTTTAGGTATATTCATGGCAGATGGTCGCGGGCGTTTGATCATATGCCTGCCAATGTTCAAGATTTGCGCAGATGGTGGACTTTGACAACCACTGGATATCAGTTCCCTGTCGTCTTCGTCATCAAACTTTGCATATGAGTCAATATCCACTTCGTTGACAAAGGCATTTCTCTTGAATTTCATAGAAGCTTTCGACAGCAAACATGGATCCTCCTTGTGTTCCTCAGCCAATCCGGTATCAGAATCTCGATAAGGGTTGCTTTCCATCGAAGTTTTAGAATGTAGTCCCCGGATTCCCTTGTTATTGGTGTCCCGTGTCACTGATGTTTGAGGGTTTAACTTTGGGCGAAAAGGATTCAAGGTTGGATCTGGATTGAGAATTTGTTTGAGTCTTTGCGGCAACGGGACTTCGGACGCATCATTTTCAGCGGAATTAATCGTTGTGCTTTGATTATGAGACGAGACTGTGGCCGTAACTCGAGACCTTTCCAAGCGTGATTTTTTCTGAGTTGACGCATATTCTAGTAGAGAATCTGCATCTCGGTATTCCTGATTCCTATTGAATCCTGAATCTTCTGATCCCTGAATGCTTTTTCTAGCGAATTTCTCTGGCGGACTTTTCCGATTAGGTTTTTCAGGAAAATGTGGTGCCTCGTCGCGCCCTGATGTTGGGTAAGAGGTATCATGGAATTCTCTTACGAATCGTTCCGATGGATGTTCTTTGTTGAAAGTCTGACTTAGTTTTGTCGAAGAAGGCTTTGGAGCTACTGATTTCCTATGAGGCTTCAACATGTCCGGAGACCTTTCACGTCTCAATTGCACATCGAGCTTTTTGGGACGCTGTGGATTCACATTTCTCCCTCGACGTTCTTGAAATGAATGTTGCTCAGTTTCTTCAAAGTCACTGGTAATGGGGTCATGAATGAATTTCTCCCCTGTTTTCGAGCTAATTGTCTCATGTAAACTAGTCTTGATTGGGTTGTCATATGGCAAGTGTTGTTTCTTAGGAGCAGTTGATTCTTCATCGCTGAAAGAATCTGTTCCGGATGCGTACTTAGCCTCGAATGGCTTGGGCCAGCATTCGTTCCGCTCCGAAGCTTCCAAGGAGCAGAAAGATGAAGTATTTCCTAGCCTTCGAAATGGTTTATTATTCCCGGAAGTTGATGAATAAGTTTCTTGCATTTCCTGTTGATGTTTGTGCATCATGATGCGAGAACTTGGCTGTCGCGAAGTCATGAGCCTCTTAAGACCGCTCGTGAATAATAAGAAGACACTCTTTAAAGGCAACAAAAGCGCGACGACTTGCACTAGTAGTGCAACCCTAGACTTTCTCCAAAGGAGTAGTAGCGGCCTAGGCTTACTATGTCCTTCTTGCCCTTCGTCGTCATCAGCATCATGAAGATCTCTCGTCGTCGTCGTCACCGACGTGCGCCTTCGAATCGGTTTATGCACGACAGGAATGCTTCGGACACGTTCAGTACTTTCTGCTCGACTTCGGGGGTCGATTTTCTTGGAAACCTTCGAGTTACGATTCACGTGGCGTGTGTTGATGTCGTGTTCTGGAGCAGGATTCGGCTTTGACTGCTGCTGATGGTCATTGTTTTCATCCTGATGTCGTGGCATTCGTCGCCGGGCAAAGGAGTCCGAGGCCAGTGCTCGATTGTCTGACGCTGGTTGACACACTGACCTCGGTTTGCACGTGCTGGTGCTGATGCTGCCTTTTTCTGATGGCGATTGAGGGTTTTTATTGTTGGGTGTGACGTTGGATGTTAGTGGCAGTGCTTCTCCTTGCTGAGCACCGTCGCCGTAAAGACTCGCTTCGATGGCTTTCCGCCACGAAGAGCTGGATCGATGAGTCGCCTTGTGTTTTCGTGGTCGTTGCTGGTGTGACTGAGGATTTGCCAAATATGTCGACTACGGGGAGGAAATCTTGATCACAAACGAATTTTTCGCAAATTAATATGATTTAACCACAGTCCGGTTTGAGATGAATCCTCGAGAGGAACTGGAATTACGATAAAAGCATATTACTACCGCACCTCAGTAATACACTGTACAGTATATTCAACTTGAGTCTTCCGTATGAGATTTTATAATCCCTTCATTCAAGAATTAAAGAAATGCAATTTGTAATAAATAAATAAATAAAATTTAAAAATTTAATCAAATAGTAAACAAAGGTTTATTTTCACTTGGAAGTTTATTTTACTGCGTTTTCTCACGATTATGTCTATAATCACATGATTTAAATTTCCTCCCCCAAATGGCTTCAACTTTTTGAAGTTCATCTGATTTTCACATGAAGAAAAACATCAACACTTGAAAATCCTGCGTTGAGGATATTTTTGGCATTAGATTGCGCGAAGCTTGATTAGCAACAGCTAGCAGATCAATGCAGAACTAATTTTAGTCGGGGAAATTGGAAATCCGGAGGATATCCTTATCAACTTATCATATTGAGAGAAATGGAACTTTTTTCTGACCTTAACTTGGTTGACCAAGAAGTGCTTATACTTCGCATTTTAGTAGTGTATAACAATAAACATTCTGTTGCTCATTGTTTGGTACGCGTTGGTGGGATCATCACAGAACGACATTGAGTCATTGACTGATCAATAATTGTTGCATTTCAATTTTTAGATACATTCCTGACTTTTTTCCCTGGAGCATAAAGCTACCGGACACTTATTTCTATCAGCTGCATGTTTTCATCTTGTGTATAGTGTTATTCGTTTGAAAATTTCTTTTTAAAGAAAATATCCTGACTAGCAGGACAATTTCAGAGACTGGAGAAGTCAGAAATCTCTGCTTATCCTTCCTGAAATATTACATAGGGGCATGCAGTGTTACTACACCCTAACTAAATTCTCTTCACTGCGAATACTGACCCATATCTACNCCGTTAGCCTGGGGAAGGTTACTACTTACCTAACTTAATTCTCTTCACTGTCCCAATGAATCAAATCCCAACCCACCCCTCAAAGAGAAAAGCGAATCCAAAAAGTCCAAGATCCCGCTAAAGCTCTGAGGGTGGGGGATCCTGGTACATAGATATGGGTCAGTATTTGCAGTGAAGAGAATTAAGTTAGGTAAGTAGTAACCTTCCCCAGGCTAACGGTGCCCTTGCCTGGGGGTTCGATCTTTTACAAAAATACAGGACACGTGCCTCCGTTCGGTCATCATCCGAAAAGTCTTACTTCATGGAAATGTCATCATATAATTTAATTTACAAAAATATTCGGCTAATATCTGATTCTTTCTCGTTTTCACCGTTGAGGTTCTCAGCTTTCTAAACGTGTTCCGTAAGCATGTTTCAAATCCTTCCTTATTGGCTGTAGACAAAATTCCAATTTGAATTTTGGAGGCATCATGGGACACACCCAGAAACCCAAATTTTTACTTTACAAATCTTCAGACAGCTTGCTGTGTTCTTCGACGAAATACCCGAATTCGTGATGTAAAAACGGGAACAAATGTCCCGATATTCCCTTTAATAAATATGGCTTGTCTTCGTATGTTCCGTATGCATATTCTCATCAAGCGACACATAATTAAGCTAAAAAAAAAAACTTTTCGGAAGCGTGCAACAGTGATGAATGAAACGAACCTCGCTTTCCGTTTCAACTATGTCCTTCCATGAAACTGATTGCCTGTTAATCATTCGTTGCTGATAGTCATCGTCAGTAGTGTTAGCAGTCTCGTCACGGCGCTTCAAAATGCTCTTCGGTGCCACATGACTCGCCATAGTCGAACTATCTTTTAGAAATTTTCACGATGGATGATGATGATGNCTATAAGGCTTCAACATGTCCGGAGACCTTTCACGTCTCAATTGCACATCGAGCTTTTTGGGACGCTGTGGATTCACATTTCTCCCTCGACGTTCTTGAAATGAATGTTGCTCAGTTTCTTCAAAGTCACTGGTTGTAGGGTCATGAATGAAGTTCTTCCCTGTTTTCGATCTAATTGTCTCATGTAAACTAGTCTTGATTGGGTTGTCATATGGCAAGTGTTGTTTCTTAGGAGCAGTTGATTCTTCATCGCTGAAAGAATCTGTTCCGGATGCGTACTTAGCCTCGAATGGCTTGGGCCAGCATTCGTTTCGCTCCGAAGCTTCCAAGGAGCAGAAAGATGAAGTGTTTCCTAGCCTTCGAAATGGTTTATTATTCCCGGAAGTTGATGAATAAGTTTCTTGCATTTCCTGTTGATGTTTGTGCATCATGATGCGAGAACTTGGCTGTCGCGAAGTCATGTCGGAGAATTCTGGCGAGCACTTATTATTCTTCTGTGAGAAATTTCCGTTGTTTTCGCGCTGCTGAACGTGATCATCACGTTGGGATCTGAAAGAGGTTTCCTCATCATCGCCGGATCCGAATGATAATCCTTCTTGCCCTTCGTCGTCATCAGCATCATGAAGATCTCTCGTCGTCGTCGTCATCATCGTCACCGACGTGCGCCTTCGAATCGGTTTATGCACGACAGGAATGCTTCGGACACGTTCAGTACTTTCTGCACGACTTCGGGGGTCGATTTTCTTGGAAATCTTTGAGTTACGATTTACGTGGTGTGTATTGATGTCGTGTGCTGGAGTACGATTCGGCTTTGACTGCTGCTGATGGTCATTGTTTTCATCCTGATGTCGTGGCATTCGTCGCCGGGCAAAGGAGTCAGAGGCCAGTTCTCGATTGTCTGACGCTGGTTGACACACTGCTGACCTCGGCTTGCACGTGGTGCTGATGCTGCCTTTTTCTGATGGCGATTGAGGGTTTTTATTGTTGGGTGTGACGTTGGATGTTAGCGGCAGTGCTTCTCCTTGCTGAGCACCGTCGCCGTAAAGACTCGCTTCGATGGCTTTCCGCCACGAAGAGCTGGATCGATGAGTCGCCTTGTGTTTTCGTGGTCGTTGCTGGTGTGACGGAGGATTCTCCAAATATGTCGACTACGGGGAGGAAATCTTGATCAGACTCATTTTTTCGAAAATTAATCTGATTCAACTGTGTCCGCTTTGAGATGAATCGAGAGCGGAAACGGAATTACGATAAAAGCATATTTCTACCGCACCTCAGTAGTGTACTGTATATATTCTACTTGAGTCTTAGTATGACATTTTTTAATCCCTTCATTTTAGAATGAAAGGAATGAACTTTTAAATAAATCAACAAATTAAAATAATAAAATTTAATCAATTGGTAAACAAAAGATTATTTTCACTTGCAAATTTGTTCAACTGTTTTCTCACGATTATGTCTATAATCACATGTTTCAACTTCCCTTCCCAAGATGGCTTTGACTTCTTGAGGTTCATCTGATTTATTCCAGATCAAGAAAAACATTAAACCCTTGAAAATCCTGCGTTGAGGATATTTTTGGCATTGGATCGTGTAAAGCTTGATCAGCAACAGCAGATGAATGCAGAACTAATTTTAGTCGGGGAAATTGGAAATCCAGAGGAATATCCTTATCAACCTATCGAATTGAGAGAAATGTAATTTTTTTTCTGACCATACCTTGGTCGATCAAGAAGAGCAAATACTTTGCATTTTAGTATACAATAACTATGAAAATGTTGTTGCTCATTGTTCGGTACGTGTTGGTTGGATCATCACAGAACGAAATTAACTGATCAATAATTACTGTATTGCATTTCAATTTTTAGATACATTCCTGACTTTTCTTTCCGGGAGCATAAAGCTACCGGACACTTATTTCTATTAGCTGCATGCTTTCATTCACTTTATAGTACTATTCGTTTGAACATTAAAAAAAAAGAAAATATCCTGACTATAGCGGGACAATTTCAGAGACTAAGAGAAGTCAGAAATCTCTGCTTATCCTTCCTGAAATTTTACATAGGGGCATGCAGTGATCATTCCCAAAAATACAGGACGCGTGCTTCCATTTGGTCATCATCCGAAAAATCTTACTTCATGGAAATTTCAAAATTGAATCTTATTTTCAAAAATACTCAGATAATATCTGATCCTTTCTCGTTTTCACCCTTGAGGTTCTCAGCTTTCTAAACGTGTTCCGTAAGCCTGTTTCAAATCCAACCTCATTGGCTGTAGACAAAATTCCAATTTGAATTTTGGAGGCATCATGGGACACACCGAGAAACCCAAATTTTTACTTGAAAAATCTTTGGATAGCTTGCTGTGTTCTTCGACATACCCGAATTCGTGATGCAAAAACGGGAACAAATGTTCCGATATTCCCTTCAATAAATATGGCTTGTCTTCGTATGTTCCGTATACATATTCTCACCAAGCGACACATAATTATGCCAAGAAAAAAGACTTTTCGGAAGCGTGCAACAGTGATGAATGAAACGAACCTCGCTTTCCGTTTCAACTATGTCCTTCCATGAAACTGATTGCCTGTTAATCATTCGTTGCTGATAGTCATCGTCAGTAGTGTTAGCAGTCTCGTCACGGCGCTTCAAAATGCTCTTCGGTGCCACATGACTCGCCATAGTCGAACTATCTTTTAGAAATTTACACGATGGATGATGATGATGATTCTATTATTTTGATTTTTTTTTCTTATGGCTGGGAAGCCGATGATTTTTGGTCGACACGCGCGGCGACGCTGTGAATTTTGTGCCAGCGCATGGGATAAAGCATTAAAGCATAGCCTGGAATTTTAATCGGGTTCCATACGGATTAAAGTTTCTAGCTGGCAGTTGCGAGTGGATTTCGTGCCGGTCTCAGTAATGGTTTCCATGTCCGACGCGAACCTTTACAAAGGTGCGGGGATTTCTCTACTTGTGCAGAGATACAGCGGTGAATATATTTCTTATATACTACAGGAGGAAACTGGAGGGAAAAAAACGCGAGTTAATATCTGAGCAACGGTAAATTTAATTACCCGTCGTGAGAAAGCAAGAGATGAATAAAGGTCGGATGTGCAGTTTCGTAGAAATTCTCGGTGACTCATTTGTAGAATGTGATCAGAACTCATTTCCTGCGTTCGCCGTTTTTTTTTTCCTATAGCCGATGATGCGCAGAGCGATGTTCTCACACTTTTTGAATTTAATTGGTGATGGTTCGATGTTTTCCAATCACTTTGTTTGAAAATGGTGTCGTTAAGCAAAGAACTTCTGATCTGAGAAAAAAGAATCAGTCGCAGTTGACAGCAGATCAGTAAACTATCAACATTGATTACTCGATTAATCAACTGCGTCGCAGCTCATGTTGCCAACTGCGACGGCAAAAAAAAAATTGGCGAAATCAGTCTGACACTGTGGCTGTCGATTAACCACACCGAAAAAAAAGAAGAAATGAGGAGTGATTTTGGTAAAGATAGAAGTTGTATTTTTTGCTGTTGACGTGGCGCAAGAAATTGAACGAAAGATCAACGTTTTTTTTTTATATCGTTGATTCCGATTTTCCTTTATTAATTAAGGCCCTGATTTAATCATCTCCATCCAGTTCTGAGTTTCTCACACGTTCATATTCGTGATGTCGAGTTGGCACTGACAGAAAGAGATAAATTTCCACCACGGTTGCTGTGTGACGTTTTTAAAACTGTTCCAGCGGGCTTCAAATATTTTTCAATTTAGTCAATTTCGACCAAGAATGTGCTGGAAACAATCCCTTCTAGTGTCTTCACGATTCGTAAAAAAGTTCACGGTTGCTGTGTGACGTTTTTAAAACTGTTCCAGCGGGCTTCAAATATTTTTCAATTTAGTCAATTTCGACCAAGAATGTGCTGGAAACAATCCCTTCTAGTGTCTTCACGATTCGTAAAAAAGTATTTCTTCGTCTTCAGATAAATGCTTATACAATGCAGCTAGTTTTTCTACACCAACACGATTTTGTAGCAAGGAAAGGATCGAAAGTTCTTCGGCGTGAAGCGTTTGACGAGAAATTTTTGTTCCGGTTTGAGGCGAAAAAAATTGAGTTTTTTCACGTTTCGAAAGTCTCGTGTTAAGCCAAGTCACGAACTTCAATGCTATCGTTCATTCCCACATCAGCTGTATAGTTGTGAAGTGGACCACAAAAACAGGTTTCATGCAGAGAATGACACATGTCGTCGTGACGTTATATTCTTCGACACCCGTGTGAGCAAGGAAAACCAAAATAAACTTTGTTGGTGATAGTTTATTTCACTCTATATCCTGATAATCCCGAAAGTGATCTTCAGTGAAGTGTCTTCCCTCGAAAACGCGTTTTCATCATTTTATAAACCATGTACGAGAATTGTGCATTCGATTCATTTGGCATTAAATCATCGCCGAAGGATTTCCGACAGCTATTTTCTCGGCCAACTAAGTTTGGGTGCAAATCCTGACTTGGAAGAAAGAGTTATCAAGTTGAACACGAATAATCGAAACTTTTTGCATCTGGATTTATTCTTTGAAAGTACAGTAGATTGAGGGATCGCAACGTAATTCGTTATGGATTATTTACTTTTGTTTTAGGTGATGATTTTTCCATCAACCAGGTGTAAGTTTTGATCAAAATCTGAATACAGTAGATTGAATTGTTGCAATAGGAGACTGTCAATCAAAAGGAAATCCTTGCAGATAGTCGATGTGCATTATATATCGACTTCGAGCCCTACACTTGGAACATAATTGTTCCTTGATTTAATTTTGATTTTCTTGATTGATTTTCTGCAGGTATTTTCAGCGTTTCGTTGTCGCGATCGCGTCGAATTCTACTCACGACACGGCTTGCATATAGAACGTCTGAGTAAGGCCGGATAAATAGTTCGAAGAACTCTTTTGCACTCTTTTTTTCGTTTGTTTAAGGACACTTCAATTTATTAAGAATGCGAACTTAAATAGGGGTTCACAAAGCTTAGCCCAAACTTTGTACATGAGTGGTGCAGTGAGCATGACCTCTGCCATTTGGGCAGCCGTTTTCTGTGCCATCTTTGCCTCTGCCTGTGAGTACACAAGATGTCGTCAAGCACATGTAAATCTATGAAAATACAAAAATTCTTAAATCGATTTTCTAAAAATAAATAGCTCGGTTTTTCGAATTCACAAATTACTGGATTTTGAAGAGTACATTGAATCGTTCTCGCAGCATCGTTTACTGGATGTCCTTCGAGATATTTGCCGACAGCATGTTTTGAATGTTTTTCGCGGGAGAAATTCTTTTTTTTTATGCGTGTGTTTTAAATTTATTTTTCAGATGGACTAGAATGCTACGAATGCTTCGGGAAGGCCTGCCAAGAAGGGTTCGGCAAAGAACGTGTTTGTGCGGACAGGATAGATACTTGCGTCACGATTTATACCAACGAAACCCGTGCCCCTGGTAAATACCTGAGAAAAATAGAACAGTACACAGTATTTCGAATTACGGATGGAATGACCACTTGAAGTATGTAATGTGTCGATGACAGTCCCCAAAAGCCAAAGTCAGTAAATGAAACCTATATTTCAATTTAATTAAGCACTGTTTCGGATGTGTTTCGATGTCGGTTTCTCCCCGAAACCTCTTCAGATTCGTAGAGATGTCGCTTTAAAATTGGCGAAAAATGAGGTAAATTATTGCATCTGACATCTGTTTGAATCAATGATGACTAGTTTTCCTATGACGTCAGAGCTATTGAAAATGTGACAAAGCAAAAATTTAAAACTTACTCTAGATCCAGAGGATGAAAAGATGTTTTTCTACCGTGGTTAAAAATGATAGCGAATTGCTGCGTTTATGGTCTTGACCTTCATATTGATGATTATAATTCTTGAAATTATCGTAGGTTCCTATTTTAATGTAAAGTTTCAATAACCTTTCATCACTTTTTTCGAAAAACGCTAAATAGGTGGGAATAAAAGATTTTTTATTAGGGTGTAAGCTAACATATCCGTCGCCGTGACATACGATATTTGATTCATATGTATGATAAACGTATGACTTGAATGGTTTCATCTACTTCAAAAATAATATCCATAAACGAAAATTTTTTTGAGAAACTGTTCATGTGCTCAAAGTGTCCATGTTTTGATCAGATTTGTTTTTTTTCACTCTCTTCGAAGAATTGAACCTTTACACAAGTCGAGAGGTGATCAAGGTATACTTTAAAAAATATAT